CATCATGAGGATTATTTTGCATTCAATTTCTGACAATAGATTCCTTTCACCTAAATCTTACACACTGGACCTTTAAGTCAATGAACTTTTGGAAAAGAGTGTGATAATTTTTGCACTCTTTGAAAACCGTCAGTGAAATGACATATTCGTATTTGTGAGTGAGTTTTAAGTCACGTACAACACAGTTTGATTTAAACCTAATACAGGACTGCAAATTAGCTTCAGATAAACTTGTTTTTCCTGTGTAACCATCCATATCTGTTCAATAATCTAACAATAAATAACAATATACAATCTAGTTTCTGTAATACCAATGTTCACTTTTTAATACCAGTTCCTGTGTGTAGAAGTCACAGTTCATTTAGTAACAGTCTCAGCCTCTCAGATTACTTTTCCTCCCCTGTGTTTGAAAGGTTCCCTTTTTTAATGAATGGAAACTGTGGTATGAGGGTCTTTATAAAAACAGACAGGATTTCTTCAGGTGTGAAAAACGGTGTTTTAGTCAGATTTAATTTGGTTTTATTTTACTTTTCTGTAGTGTTGTCATACAGATCAAGAACAGACCACTGAATTGAGGAAAATTAACGTTTTTAAAGTATTTAAAGTGCCAAATTTAACCAAAATTTTCCAATGCCTCAGTATTCCTGAAGAAAATTTCAGCATATGACCAAAGACATATTAAACCTAATATTAATATGACACAGATTTTCATAACCAGCTGGTATTCTTCTATTCCCCTTCTTATACTTATACCCTAAGTTTATTTGGGGTCTAGCAATGTCATTTGTCAATGTCTTTGAATAAATCCTGTCTAGTTCATTATGAACATATAATAACATCATAAGCTAAAATGCAAGAGGATAATGTGTAGCAATGTCCATGAGAATTAGGCTACTTAAAAAAAAATTCTAGACATTGTATAGCAGCTCTGCTGTTTGCACAATTACACACACTTGAAAATGTTCAAACATATAGCCAAAAAAAGACTGAGTGGTGAGAGGAAGAGCCGCTGCCCCACTCAAGCCAAGTGCTGATCTTGCAGTAAAGTCCCAAACAGAGAGACTCGCACCAAAAGAATCATCCCAGCACTACAGTTGTCTTTCCACAGGCAGGGCCCCAGCAGTCCTGTGTGTCATTAGGTGTAGTGCACTGCAAAGTGGTGAGGGAAACACCCTGCACACAACAAGGAGCCACACAAGGAAACATCCCAAAGTAAGACACTCGCCCTGACTGTATTCTTTTTGTAGCAGTGTTGCTGCACCAGTTTCATACTGTTCACTGGCTGCAACATGCATGTGAGTGAACTCATGCTGATTTATGTAAAATGAGTGTCTGTGAAGAACTAGATCATGACAACCCACACTACTAATACCAACAGTACACTTCCACCCTCTCCCCATCACCCACATAGCAACAAACCAGACAGGAAATCAGTGTAAAGAGAACGAGAGAAACACACTGATGAAGAGACGCAGTTTGTTTCATTCACTGATTTACACACTGAATTATTCAAAATCAACCGGGGGTGAATGGTGGCTTGTGTTTACACTGTGACCCTAATTATCTAAAGACTTCATTAGCAACAGGAACTGTCCTGGTATTTTGGCCTCATAATGTATGTCATGTCTGCGAAATAAATACTGGTGAGGCCGATCACAATAACATCATATATAATGCTCCAGTGTTTGAGCACACACTAATTACGCATTAAGGAATTTCACATATTTTCAGTAATACCAAACCTCACTATAATTGGGTCCTAACCCCTGGTATCCAGACATCATGATGCTATAATAAAGACATGAATATTACCATATCTCAAAGCTCAGTTTGAAGGATATGGCTCAAACACACAGTCAAACACAATGAGATACATAAAAAACACTTTCTGAAGTCACCTCTTCATGATGCAATCCATCTGAAATCAGCTGGATGAACCTGCGGAATATTAACACTCTTTTGCCTAAATGTATTTGAAACAGCTTCACAATGAAATATGGTGCAAGTCTAGATGTTTAGCTTTATTACAATATATTTGGAGTTTTAATTCAGAAGAAAAAGAGAATAGAAAACTCTAATAAAGATCAAACTTATTGGCAAACGCTCCTCTTCTGTTTTATTTGAATGGTCTGCATTTTCTTTCTTTTTCGAGTTTAGCTTCACCATACAACGCAATTTATTTTAATTTCAAGAGTTAGTCATGTGGAAATCTGCTTTAAAACCATGCACCCTGTAATCCATCCATTAACCATTGAATTCTTATATATTTTACTATTTATTACATATCCTTGAGGAAAATAAACCCTTGAGTAAACATGAGGAGGTCATCTGCATTGACACGATGAGCCCCGCTGGCCTCAGCACCTTTTCTACCTCCCCCTCAGCCTCCTAATGGCCTCCGGATACTGTCTTACTCATCCCCAACCTGACCTTTGGTTTCATGTCTTCCAGCTGCCTGCCCGGTGGAAGGCTTTAAAAAGGCAAGATAAAGTAGTGGCTGCTGCTGCCGGACATGAACTATACTTTTGCTGTGTAAACAGTGTCTTCTAAGGATCTAATTTGCTGATGTATGATGGAGCCTTGTGCACACACCAAGTGAGGCTTTTTCATACATAAATAGTATTACAGTCCTGATGAAGCACAGAGATACACTCAATTTGGAATAGCTCACAATGTCAAGTTCATGACTGGACATGTTCCAATATGTACTGTATGAAGATTTCTTCTATATGAAAACTACTGATTCATTCAGGTGAACAACAATCATAGAATGGGTGAATGAAACTGGAAGTACAGACAGTTACTTCATACTCTAGCCAGTTTCAAAAACACAGTAAATACGTTCTGACCAATTATGGGATGAAATTATGCTCCACGATTTAATTTAAATCATGTTTCCAGGATAAAATCACATTTAAAACCAATATCAAAATCTACTGAATAGATTTCACAGGGAATTCATGGATCATTTCATGAATTCATGAAGTATGCATCTTGTTGATGAAAAAAATCTGGCATATTTAGGAAACTGACATCTATGAGTGTGCCTGTGCCCGACCTGATTGAATTTATGGGGACTGTTGTGTCCTGGTGGACGGATGCACTCCACTGAGAGCCATTCTAGTTACCATGTTACTGTGACAACCATGCAGACAATTATCACTAGAGAGTCTGAACCAAGTTCCACAGAAATCCATCCAATTCCTGAGACATTTCACTCAAATCCACATATATCAACTTCAGGTTGGCAAGAGAGGAAAAGCCAGGGGATCACCAGAGTCATTATGATTCCTCCCTCTAGGCACCATGGAAATCTGCTGGACCAAATCCCCATCCAAAAAGATCCATGCTGAGGGCATAGCTTGAACACAAATTTTAGCTTAAAAGTCAACCCTGCTTTTGAAATGTTATTGTATTTAAATCACATCTACAGCACAAGGCATATTTCTTATATATTTAAATTTACCAACAATCCTTGCTCCAGATATAATGGTTTTTGACTCTGACAATCGAAAATGAGCTCACCTGTTCTAATCTCCTCTAAGTGAGAAAATAGAATTGAATTATATGCTCTTCCCTTTTCAGTGGAACTTAATAAAACCCATCAGTGTAGCTTACACGGCATCAATGAATGTTAAGCTGGGGATACATTCTACTTTATGTTTCCTCTGTGTGAGATAACAGGTCATTGTGATGGAACCAACATAACCATTTTATTCTCGGCTGAAACGTCTATTCATCTGTGTTGCTTCATGGATGATTGATACGTCAATTACCTCTGAATCTGCCTGTAAATACTGCTGTGTAAAAGTCACAGATGGATTTGCAGCAAGTCAGAGATTGCAGCCTTGAGTGAATGTAAAAATCAGCTTCACAGACAATCCAAAATCCCAGCATTCACTTTGCAAAACTGACAAATGATCTGTAAACTTCGTGGAGTGACGATCAGCACTTACAGAGTCAATATGACACATCTGTTAAACCAACTTAAAAGAGAAGCATCTGAGGGAACATGCAGAGTGTTTCACTCAAGTCGGCACAACCCCACTCGTCTGGATCTCACAAGGTCCAGAAACAGTTTTCATTGAAATATAGAACACCTAAAATAAGATGATGAAAGCAGCAAATCAAGGAAAGAGGTGAGTGAGGCAGTCACATTCTATTCTAGGTAAGGATATGGTGCAGTTTTAAGATGTGACAAGGCTTTAAGACAACGATGCACAGTTTGATCTGCCAGTAACTGCCATGTGTTTTAAATGGGGCAAACTCATGAGTCCATAGGCGTGTTCAGGTTTGACATTTCAGGAGATGAAATTCAGAATGCAGATTGCCATTGAGTTTGTGATGATTGTTTTGGGATAATTGCCCTCTTCTATTCCCAAGGCCGCAGATCCCGTGGATCTCAAGGCAAATCTAAGGGGTAAAATTATGTTTACTTCTTCAGACTTTTCTCAATTTTATTTGAAGCAAATACATAATATTGACCTCAAGCCTTAAAAATTCCCTCAAATGCAACCGAAAAAGAACACAACAAATTATGAATAAAATCAAACCACAAAAAAAGACTGAAATGAACTCACATTAACCACAGGGGCCAAAACCTGGAGAGTCACAAGTAGATTCTGTACAGCTTCATTTTAAAAGTAGTGGTTTGACATTTTAATTTACATGTCTTTAGTGCTTTGATTAACACATTATATCTGTTTAGTCTGAATAAAAAGGAAAGTATCTAATTTACAGTTCAGTTTTTGTATTGATTAACTTTGGACCAAGCCAACGAATCAATTCCCTCATGTTTCCAATCTTTATTCTAAAACAAGCCAACTGGCTGCTGGTTCATATCAACCTGACAAAAACGAGCGCGGAATCAATCGTCTCATCAATGCTGGACATTGCTCGGTGTTACGACTTTAGACATACACCTCGACTTGTTTTGTCTCGAAGGAAAATCCAGTTTATGTGTGAGCGGTGCAGAAGTGCTGCACGTGCAAAACCCTTACCTCTGCAGAGATCTGGGTTTGGTTCATGAAGGGGAAGAATTTGATTCATCCAATAACTGCAGGGATTGAAGGCGGGATTCAGGTGACAGGTCATCTCCATCTAAAGCAAAATGATCACAATTTATAAACAGTCCAACTGCATCCCATTAAACTTTTATAACAAAGTAGATTCATGTTGAAAAAAAGAATTATTGATTCCATGTGCACAAATAATTCATAAACATGTTTCTCCGAAAGGAATGTACAGCAGATCGTTAATCAAACAGAAACATTTCCTTGTGCTGCACTTGTATCTAAACTGGAACTATTATATGTACTACAGCAAAAGGACGACTTTGCCAACTCATTCAACCATCACAAAGGTGAGCGCAAAAGACTGCAGGTGTTATCACTTGAATCTGAATGTCTGAATACTGATTAATACCAGATATCTTTATTAAAACATGTCCCAGTCTACAAAGCACAACCTGCCTGATTCAACACTCATATGCTGTTCATTAAGCGTCCCTTTTTCTCTGTCACTCATATCTCACCCTGGCCCAAACTCAGCTGGGGACATGAGTGATAACAGCACCATCATGGGCCTTTTCAATTAGTTTCCCAGATGAAAAATATATAATCCTCATCCTTCATGCCAGGACGCTTTCTCAGATTACAACACAATCTGTATTAATCATTAAATTCATGAACAAGAAGTCTGTGCTTGCATAGTGCCCGCCAGTCATCGCGTCTGGCTCCGAATTCCTGATAACAAGTCATGCACAAGCATAACAAAGACAATTAAAGGTTGAAGTGTGTGTTTATGTTCTACTTGGGGTCGGCATTTTATTCTCAACCATAAATACTAAAGATGACTCATAGCACCTCATCTCCAGCAGCAGAAAATACGACGCTTCGTGATGTTTGGTATATGCTAATAAAGTTTCACTCCACTTAGCTTAAGGTAAAGTGGCTGTGATACACTCGTGGAGGCAGTGACTGTAGAATACTTTAAAACCTTTAGTGCCAGATGGCATTGTTCTCCTCAGAGTCATAACTCAGGCACATCAAGATATGACGGCTACTATACGTGTAATGAGAAATGACTCACTTTGTCCAAGGGCATCAAAACTTTCAATGTCCGTCTCAACTAAACACTCGTAAATCTGCTTAAACGTCATAGGAAAAAAAAACACTTTAACTTGTCTGAAAATAGTTTCTTCGTATTAATGTAACTCATATTTACTACGTCTGCACAGAAACTTCTAACAAGCTGTTTTGGCATTCAGCATTGTCAAATATAGACTAAGTTGTAGCAAATGGTAATGTACAATAAATGATTATGTGTGTGAATATGCAGAATCTGTCAAGATTTTGAGTCCGGAAGCCTTCTGGTTCTGGTTCCATTGACCGAACCGTTGACCAAACAACATCGGCTAGATTCTTTAATCTGTCTGTATTCATATGCAGAAAGCTGTTAATAGATATAAGCTAAAAATGTTGTCTGGACATACAATTGTTTGTGTTTTTTGTCCGGAGAGATATCTGATGTGTCTGATAAGAGAAACTGTAAGGTACTGCGAACGGAAAACTGAGTCTTGGCCCAAATATCCACTGTCTACACCAGAAGCCCCAAATTATTAGCCGTCGTCACCAGAGGCTTAATTGTGATCAGACGACAGCCGATTGATGTTTTACTGCCACCAACTGGTCTGGAGTGTGAATCAGAATGTCTATGATTTACAATATTAAAAAACTGTTTCCTCAAATTCCCAAATTAGATTTTGATAACTCTTATTTCAGAAGTTCTATATTTTTATCTCTTTGATCAAAGTGTACTTTTATCTTTGAGCTTTTGATCTCATATTTCTGACAGTGCAGCATCACATGCTCTACTGTAATCTCTAACCTACTGTAGTAACATCTGCCGGTTTTATGTTCATCTGTTTTGAATATTCCAAGTAGTCTTGATCTCTCAGGCTCCTTCCTGTTCACCTGATTTCCCACACTTTGAACTCAGTAAAACCAGTGCTTTCTTCTCTTCCTCTCATTTCTTCTGCCAACTTTCTTTCAATTTGTGCCTCACAATGCTCTAGATTTCTATCTTGTTGAAACCAACTGCATTGTTATTCTTTTGCGGCCTCCTTAGCAAATTTAACTGCCATCACATTTCACTTGCTACAAATATGTGCTGGCTTTCATATACATCCTCTTTTCTGTGTAAAATATTAGTTTTTAGAAGACATTTGCAGGTTCCAAAAATCCGTATGTAATAAATGTGCATGCAAATTCCTCTAAGTGCAACTCTGAATCACAACAAAGATGCCAGCGAATGTGACACTCTCCTTGTTTGCATAAGACAAAGTGGATGAGTAAACGTTGCATTAGCATAGTGGCTCCACTAGTGAGTTTCTACCCTAGTGATGTCAAGTATCTGAGTGTAGCTGAGGCCCCAGTGTGAAAACACAGTGAAATGAAGGGTTGTTGGAAATTCCTTGGTTGCACTCTCCACAAAGCAGGAACAAACATGACACTTTCTTCAGCTTCAGCAGAAAACACACAGGCCACAGATACACTACACAATGAAGATTATTAGAACTCTAAATTAATCTAAAAACAAAGCTTTGCATTTCTGCGATGTCACATAAGAGGAGCTTGGCTGAGATTTAATCTTTTTGTTTCGCTTAACAAAATGATTGCTCTCTAGATATGTGTTAAAAGTCTCTTCTCTGTATTTTCAATATTTTCCTTCAGCTTATACAGGATCGGGACACTGGTCATTTCTAGTGCATATTTGGTCAAAGAAGATATTATTGAAATATACTGAGAGGTGTTTCTGATATTTAGCCTACTGCCACTGATATTTATAGGATGGGCAAAATAATAGAAAGACCTGTAAACAGCGCAACAAATTGCAGCCTCTAAAATCCCCTTTAAAACTGCAGCCTCTAAACCCCCCTTTAAAACTTCACATCATAAACTTCGTTGAGGTCTAGTTTATATTATAGAACTTGTGCATCAGGCTGCAACCGTTATTGGTGTACCTAATAAAGTGGTAGCTGAGTGTATAAAAGTGTAGACAGTCCAGTACAGAAATAAATATTAAAAATGAGTAAGAGTCTTCAAGCACACACACACACGCACACACAAACACACACACACACACACACACACACAC